TCCACGAAATTCAGAGGGCGGGAAATAAATGGTTTGAATATTGTATAAAAAGGACTCCTATTTATAAACGTGTAATTGTCAGAATACTTCTATACTTTATTCGTAATTAAACATAAGCTTTATAATAAAAAAAGTAAAAAAAAAACATTACATTAACACTAATGAAAAAACTTCAAACAATAGATAGTGTGTACACTCCTTTAGTTTTAAAACGTTAAAGGACACGTTCTTTAGTTCTTGAGTTTCGTTTTTTTTTAATAAAATAAAATAACTTTAAGGAAAGCGTTGCTTACTTATTTTTAAAGGAAGAGGGATTATTGTTTTTGCAACTGATTCGATAGTAAAAATAATTGGCCGTATTCTCATCTCATATTGAGTCTTATTTTTCTTTATGACTGTTTTCTATCGACTATTTTCTGAACGTTACATTTAAGTAATCCTTTGGGTAATATGTCACACTGTTATATATTCAAGAGTCTGTATTGTGCGTCATTTTTGTACCCTCATCACGTGTCTCGTTATAGGGACATATATTTTAGGACCTCATAAATATTAAATGGAACAATTTTAACTTTGTGGCGTTGTTAATCAGAAAATCAAAAATGTGTTTTTTCTTTATTATAGAACTGGCAACATTGTTCTTGTTTTGCTAATTACTTAAAGTAAACACATAATCAAACGTGACCTTTTTTATGACCTCATAAGTTTTCTAAAATGATTTTTTTAAGCATAGGATTAAAGTCGGCTTTATTGGATTTATTTGATTATTGCGTATTAAGATATCTTTATTGATTTTAGTAAATGATATATGCCCTTATTTAATAAAGCATCATTTTAAAAGAAGGTGTAAAGAATTCATTAAGTTATAAGTTTCTAGAGGAGCATAAATTTTATGTAATTTGAACCCTCGTCGAGTGCTGCGTAAAATTAAAACGTGTTTTAACGATCCCTAAATCATTTGGCCCTGAGATATCAATCTTTAGTGTTTTATTTTTTATTTTCATGTGTTAAAAATTATTTTTTTACTTATTTATTAGTTTCTTTGAAGTGTAGTATTTTTACTCGATACAAAATATATTATTACTACAAATCAGAACTTTTGCATTCATCTAGTTCAAAAGTAATTTGGTGAATTTTACATATTAAAAACGAAATAATTTTAAAACCTTAACCAAATGAACAAAATTCTTACATGATTTCGCGTAACAATTTTTATCCGAAATACATATTTCGAGTATTTCTACCCGTTAGTTTCGCGAGTCACGTATATTTTTCGCCGTTTCGTTACGTTAATCGTATCAGACAAGATAATTTGTGGCGGGAAAAATAACTGGTATAGGAAAGGCAATAATCTACATTGATACACACGGACAGTAAGTTCAGTGAACACGAGCCAAGATGATAGTCTATAAATATTTTTTATTTTTGTTTATTCTGAATGTGAATATTTGTTACCCAAATTAGGTTTTTTATATTGTTATTGCAGTTTTTGAAAGAACGAAGTCATTTAATGAAGACATTCTTATTTCAAACGCATAAAGCTATAACGCTTAAGTTTTAAAAAAAAAGTAAAAGCTTAAAATTCGTTTCATAAGACGGACAGTCCTCGTGCCAATTTATGACTTGATTTGTCTCTTAAAAAAATTAAATTATTTATAATCTGTTAACAAGATTAATTCGAAAAATATGTATTTAGGTTTACGTAAGAAGTCGACGCGGGCAGTGAGTCACAGTCTCGTTGTCATTCCGTACGGATCCCGTCCGCATCCCGCAGGAATCGTAATTTAACGTCCGGGGAAATATTCAAGGTACCTAATTTGGTCGCCGAGCATTTTGTAATAAATTTTATATTTATTTTTATATATGTTTAAATGTTCCTATTACCTCAAATTATTATTTTTAGTAAAATATATTAGTCATATTATCGGAACGACTGTATGGGTCTCGCTGAAATATAGCATAAATGTAAAACATAGTCAGGAAGAATGCATAGGATAGTTAATTTTTATTAATTCTACGCGGACGTAGTCGCAGGCGACAGCTAGTACCGATAAAGTAAGAATGTCCTCGTTTATATTTTCCAATATCCCGCATGTTAGAAACAATCTCAACATTTTATATCAATCCAATAATCTTCCTGCATCCAATATTGTTTCCAATCACGAACTGTATATTTACCTATAGTACGACATACGTACGATACGTTCGGCGAGAGAGGCGCTGTTATCGCGGTTAGCACTATCCGAAAATAGTAACACTTACAGTGGGTTTCCGAGTTCAATATCTTCGTTTAAAACATACTGTTATCTCTGTCTTGACAAGGACAACCACAGACCGAAAATAATCTTATGCCACTTTTTTCACATTATCAAGGAGTTGTTTTCACTTAAAAGCTCACTTTGTTAAATGAAGTCGGTCTATGAGTGAATGATATAGCGAGTCAGTAAGTCAATGAGTGAATGTACGAGACGCGATGCACTCGTTCATATTGAATGTGTTCACAGTAACACTTCGTTTGGTACGTGCTGCGCTTTCACATTCACTATTTTTATACAAGTGCAGAGTACATTATGTCCCTTGCTAAGAACTGTAAAGAAATTTTAAAGTTGGTTTTTAAGTTTTTTGTTGACGCAGGCAACATGTTTAAATCGTTCACTGTGGAATCTAAGTAGGCATGTTGTATTGGGTTTATATTCGAATTAATTGGTTTGTTAGTAGTATTTGTCGAGTTAAATCAGTGGTGCAGCGCTTGCGGCGCGGTGGCTCGGCGTCGACGGACGGGGCTCAGTAAAGCAATTAGAAAGCCAAACAAAGGCTACATTCAGCCGGAACAGTTAATTAGAAGACTGATCGCGTAGGCCCGACGTGACCACGGACCAAGTTACAAGAGACTATCAATAATTCTTCCATAGAGTATTTCGATGACAATGAAACTTTTATAATATTTTATTATAAAAAGGAAAGATTTAATTATATGTTTATTGCATTGATTAGACTCCGAAACTACAGAATCGTTTTGAAAAATTCTTTCACTCTTGGGAAGTTATACTATCGCCGGTCGCCGGGTTACAAAAGCTATAATATATTTTAGCCACAAAAAGGTTCCCATGGCAAACGTGTTAATAAATTTCGCGGGCGGTGTTGTTGTCGTAATAATCAAATTGCAACAGAAAAATCTTTTTCGTCGCCTAATAAATATATAACTCTTTAGACGTAACGTTTTTGATTTTTTTTTAAAAGCAAACTAAATGTATCATTGTTTACCGCTTATGAATTAGAGCACACGCTACGCTCAGTCGTACATTTCAATGGGAACATTCAGCCTTACGTTAATCCATTTGTAAATCGCCTCGACGAATTTACACAACGCGGTCGAATACCTGGATCATTTTCTAATTTACCAACGCTCGATATATCACGATGTACTGACGCACAGTTCCGTCACGTACACGCCCCTCACCTAATTATACACTATGTTACATTGCTCTATGTTTGATTTTGATATTAGTCAATCCCTGCAGCTGACGGATTGAAATCGTTTAATGATCGTATTATTTTGTTCTTATGAATAAAATCAATAATCTGGAATAAAATGACATCTTTTTTGTACGACAAGGTGCGAATGCTAATCCTCTTCCTGTTTCTACACCTTTTTTATAGAGTATTAGAAAGAGAAATGTTTTGACGGGTAAGGGGAAGTCTATGATGGGTAAACACCTCATCATTTGGCCGCATTAAAGCGAAATCAGTTGATCGCTTGATCGTTTGCCACCTTATTGTATAAAAAAAATTATATACTAATCGATTAATAAAATAAATCTTTGATCTTTCTTATTCTGACATCATTTCAATGAGAATTTGTTTGATGTAACAATCATTTACAACATTAAATAGATAGACTTAAGCCATTTTCATTAAACTCTCACCCTGTCTATACGTTAGGATCTTTGCGGCTCAAAAACTTCGACAATAAATTGCACTACAACCCATAGAAGACTTTGAAGTCCCTTAATGCGTTAATACTTTGTAAAGTTCTAAATTGAAACATTTGTTTATCATTTACATTTTGATTAATTAAAAAAAATATATTTTTCTTATTCTCAACGTGACCTTTAGTGAAATAATTGCGTCATTTTATAATGGCTCTACCACTGTTGTGCCTTTGCCTCTATTCGCAGTGGCTCCACGACTGTTGTGCCTTTGCCTCTATTCGCAGTGGCTCCACGACTGTTGTGCCTTTGCCTCTATTCGCAGTGGCTCCACGACTGTTGTGCCTTT